GCGCTATTTATTTACAATGTCTAAGCGCATTTTATCTAATTTTTTTTCACTAATTGTGTTTCAAATACTGTTTGAACATATTTTGTATCAATAATTGTTGCATATTTGAGTATACACAGGCGCACACAAATGTTTTCAATTACGGCAATATAATATGTCATTACAGTCTATTATATTGTATGTTCTGCTTATATTTGTATATATTTACACACACGCACACGCTATCTGCTTATATGTTTACATATTTACACACTCGCACACGCTATACACACTTTGAAGCACACTTAGAAGATTTCTAGACTGTGGTAGTCATTGAAGCAGTCGACAGCACATAATGGGATACCACACGTTTCACACCATGTTTGCACAAGCTTCCGTTTCTTGTCTCTACGTGTCGTTGTTTTACACACCAAGCAATCACGTTGGGCTATTGCACGCTTCCCAGCTGGTGGCAAATACTTGAGTCTGTGTGCTAGGAAGCCTTCAGTGTGAGCGAGGCGTGGAGTACCAGCATGCTGCAACAGTGGGTTTATGATGGGCCGCTGAATACCTGGGACATCTTTTGCAAACTTTCCTAATAACTGTATTGCAGCATCAAATACAAAGTCACGGAAAGTGGGCTTACGTCCAGTTCTCACAAGGTACATGTTGAAACAGTTCAGCATGCTCATGTCCACAAGATGGAAGAACACTTTTTTCGTCCACCTACATGTCTTCCGCACACACTCTGCAGTGCCAATCATCATGTCTGATTTATCAATCAACCGCATGTTGATATTATAGTCTAAAACACAGTCTGGCTTATATAGTGGTGCGTTTGTTTTATGGCTCACTTTCCCACTGTTCACCATTGTTCCATCATGAATTGTTGTCAACAAGTTCACCTCTCTTTTGTCTTTCCACCGAACTGACAGAATGTTATCACTTTTCCTTCTCTGACACTCACCAACTGCAATGTCGTTGTCAAACACAGGCATTTCCCTTCGTTGTGGCTTTACTGTACCAACCAATCCGGTTCTATTTTCTAGCAAGAACCGAGCTAGCAAGGGACTTGTATAGTAATTATCTGTGTATAAAATGTGTCCCTTGTTCATCCGCGGAGCCATGATGGTCTTCACTACACTCCCCGAGAATCCATGTTCGTCGTTACCGGGAATGTCTACATCACTAGCCCGAGTACAGAATCATGTGTAACACGTATCCTGTCTCACAATCACAAAGAACAAAAAATTTCAGGCCAAATCGGTTTCGTTTTGAGGGAATGTACTGTTTGAATGGAACACGTCCCTTGAAAAGTATGAGAGATTCATCAACCACCAGCTTCTGTGCTGGTATGTAAAAATCTCTGAATTTTCCAATAACATCGTTCATGTAGTGCCTCACTCGCCACAATCTATCATCAGGTGTTCGGTCCTGAACACTTCCAAAATGTAGACACCTGAGGAGTATCTGAAACCTGTCTCGTGACATATATTTCCCGAATAAAGGTGTTGGTATTGTCTTGTCCTTGCTCCAATAGTCATTTATTGCATGTTTGTGACAGTGCTTCATCAACAAACAGAGTGCCAAAAACACATACATTTCCGCCACTGTGGTATTTTTCCAACGCTGCAGTCGTGAAAATTCTGTGATTTCCCTCTCAATCAGGTAAGCAGCATGCAGGTTCGTTTGGTGTACAATGTATTCCATGAGTGGTTCATCATAGAATGCTGTAAAATATTCCATCTCAGCCATGTCCTCACCTTGATTAGGGAAAAGGTTTGTAATCCCTACATCTTTATCGTCAAAGTGAGGAATATTAGGAATAAAATCGTCACCATCACTCCACTCAAGTACACCAGGCGTCCTGCGAGATGCAGAGGAAAGACGGCGAGGAAGCGATGCATACCGGCGACCAGGAGCTGAATACCGTCTGCGAGAAGCACGGCGGCTACGTGCACGTGAGGTGGGTGCACGTGAACACGAGGGTCTTGGTCCCTCATGTGGTGCCATGCGGTGGCGCTTGGCCGGGCGAGATGCTGCTGACGCGACAATTTCTCGCCCAGTTACACCACTGGTACCAGCCACAGGCTCAATAAAACTTTGATCCGAGTCACTAAACCCAGAAAAGGAGTCACCTCCCTCTGACTCGTCACCCTCAAACAGAAAATATCCACAGGAACTGTGAGGTCGTGGTAGAATTGGGGTAGAAAATGGGCGAGGAGGAATGGGAGAGCGTATAGGCCTCGCCATGGCATGGCGGTCATTCTCACTTTCACTGCTGCTGCTACTATCACCCGACAACTGTGTATAATCCTCATCGTTGTCTGAATCGTCAAACACACTTTCTTCACCTTCAGAGAATAATTCGTGGGCTATTTGCTCTGGGGTGAGGGACTGAGTGGTGCGTGCCCGTGAGGCGTTTGACCGTGCGCTCGCCATGGTGACTCTCTCTAAACTGAGGCCTCCCATGCCTTCGGATCGTGAGCGGGAATTTTTTTCAAAATGGCCGCTGTTTACTAGAGCCCCTGGGCAGCGTATGGGACCCCCAGCTACACCGCGGGCCATTCAAATCGTGCGCGGTACCCATACACTTCATATGAAGTGAAGCGCAGTTGACTGGTAAAACGATTTACACTTCATATGAAGTGATGCGCATTTTAAGGGTTAAACTCAAGTGGGGCAGCTCCAGGGTCTCCAACTGATCAACCAACCTGGCCCATTGCAATAAGAAGAATCAAGCATGCAACGCAGCCACCGCCTGATCCCCGAGATCATCATATAAGGAATAAGTAAATTGAAGAACAAGTGGGGAACAAGAGACTAGGTCGTAGGTGTCCCCAATCCAACAGGCAGCATGACAGAGGCAGTACAGATGATCGTCACTCAGGCAGTGGTGACAAACGACCTTCAACTTTGCACAGGGCGAGAATAGACTCGGAAGAATTATCCATGGTACCACCAAGCCTACAGGGGTTTTCCAGGGTCCACAGGGTGAATAAGCCCTATGGGAAGCCCAGGTACTCGGGCCAGCTAAACTGGTTGAACCTTGTCAGGTAGCAGGCAAACTGACCACCAGTAGCAGCTGTGAAACCTCCGGAGCAACAGAGGAGTACCACCAACTCAACCTAGGCTAGCCTAATAAGAAGTTAGGCAGCCCTCCTCCGTTCACAAAAGGCAAAAACGGCAGAAAATAAAGAAACCCAACGTACCCCAAGGGTGAAGACAACGTGAAGCGAAGAAGTCCTCAAACGGAAAGTGATTCTCGAATACCCCTGAACCTCAACAGAGAAATGAGTAAGATGGAGTACGTGAGGGAAACAAGACCCACGTGACTCAGGGTCGAAGGTGTCACTGCCCCAACAGGCAACATGGTGGAGGCAGAATGTATGAACATCACCAGGTGAATTAAAACCCTCAAATTCCCACAAAGCAAGAGAAGGCTTGGAAGAAGTATCCATAGTACAACCAAGCCCATAGGAAATTTCCAGTACCTGCAGGGTGAATGAGACCTACAGGAAGCCCAGGCACTGGGAATACTGTGCTGGTAACCCCTGAAGCCGATGGGGGGCAACAATGGGCCTCAACCACACACACCTAAGGCAAGCCAAATAAGACGAAAACCAGAACCTCCAAGCATAAAAAAAGAGCAAAGTGTAAAGAAAAACAAAAATACAAAGAGCCCAAGCCCCAAAGACCAAACTACAGAGAACGAGCAACTAGGGAGAAACATCTACGCACCTGTGTTAATTGGTCACGCAAACCCCAGTGCGCCCCACCAGTCAAAAACATTCCCAACCAGATTGAAGACAGTCAGTCACAGACAACTGACTGACCTTTAAGGGCGAGGACCAACCCAAGCGAGGAGGTCCCCCCAAAGGGAACGTATCCCAAACACATCTGGCAAGACAAACCTGACTGCAGAAGGGTAGTACTAAATGAGCACACGGGAAGATAACCCTGAACTCATGCAGCTCCATGTATACTTGTGCAGCTCATAGAAAATCATATAAAACAGTTTCAAAGGCAAAACACGACTTTGAAAAATGGAAGACCGGAACCAGAGCAATTAGGAAAGCCAGCAAGCACCATCAGAATAGAACTGATGGTGGTGGGGACCGGCTGACCTGATCTGCCTTCTTCCCTCCCTCCTTCCCTCCCTCCCTCCAAATGAGTGGGGAGGTGGGGGCAGACTAGCCTGTGCAAGTTTCACTAACTTTTGGTGGTTTGTTTTCATTATTTTGGGAGTTCTTTGGTGATTTTTGAGGCTGCGGTCTCAATTTAACCGTGTAGTAGTCTGTTTTGTTTTGCCTAACTTTCTGGGTGCCTTCCCAGATGGTGGCAGCAGTTATGATTAACTTTAAATGTAGTGTTCATAAGCCATCATTCTCTGCACTGAGGGGTGGGGGCAGGTTCTGGTCCCCTCAGGTCCTCGGTAGGCCAATAGAACTCCATGACTGATGGCACCTTGTACTATGGTGCTGCTCAGTGTATGATAGCTTCAGGAAGCCTCTGGCGCTTCCCCTAGTCACCCCTCTTGTCACACTGGTAAAACAACTAGCACCTACATACATCAAATTTAGCATACTGCTAGTAATTTCAGTATGTATGTATGTAAGTACAAATGTGTCTAATGCTAAGTTTATACTTTTAACATGTGTTCCTATATCACACCTACATTAATATCAGGCCAGTCACTCATTCAGCCATTAACTTATGCATGTATATCACTTCCTACTTAGAAAACTTCTACTGGTATTATAGAAATTTTGTTATACTCTGTGCTTTTTCCAAGGCATAAGATCCAAATAATATTTGTAAAAACTCAATGTGCTTCTGTAGATATTGTTCAAGCTAGTTTAGATAGGACAACATACAAGCTCTTGTGCTTGTATGTCCCCATAACTAGGGACGTACATGCTTGCAGTTAATACTGTATAGGAAATCTTGTTCACTGATAATTAAGACCTATTTCAAATTTGGGATGGATTTTGTATGTAAATAAAACTGTTATCTTTCAGAGTTTGGGTTAGTAATAAGGTGGCCAAAAGCTTTCCTCTGTCAGCCTCCCGCACCTACACTGCAGCTTTTGCTTTAAGACAGCGGATGCTCAACTTCATTCAGAATATTGAGTATTATATGATGTTTGAAGTAATTGAGCGCAACTGGCAGACGTTCATTAATAAAATGCAAAAGGTTAGTACATTACCTAAGTATTTCTTGAGGAGCTCCATGGTGGCTCCCTGTAGCTATCTTACTATCTAGGTGGATTTGGTTGCTGTGGGGCTCGGTGATTAGTTTCCATTTGGACTGCTCTCCTGTGGTTTATTGTCTGAACTGAGGGGGGGGGTCTTTGCGATCCGTGGCTCTTTGGGGCCGGTCGCTTTGGATAGCTCTTCTGAGATCTCAGGGTTTAGCTCTGCGTCGTTCACATCCAGGGGATGTCCAATGTCTTGGCGAATGGCCTATCTCGCTTTATTCCTCTTTCCACGAAGTGGACGGTCGACACCGCCTTCCTCCTTTGACCCTGTCGGAAGTTCAGGCACTTGGAGGTGGATCTCTTCGTGTTGGCTTGGTCCCGGCACCTCCCTATATACGTGGCACCATTTCCCAACTGCGAGGTGTTCGTGGTGGACCTTTCCAGTAGGACTGGTTGAGGTGGGGGTTCCTGTACCTTCATCCCCTGGTCCAGCTATTTCTATAGGTTCTGGCATGGCTCGAATCCTTTCGGGGAAGATTGGTTCTCCTGGCCCAATGGTGTCCGGCCCCGCCTTGGTTTGAGACGCTGCTTGCACGGTGTTCAGATCTCGGGAGTTTATCTGCAGCTCCGCCTCTTTTTAGCAGGTCGGGCCAGACAGGTACCTCGCTGGTTCGACTTACTCTTCCACTCTTCGTGTCTGTTTTTTTAGGTGAGTGTATCTCCATTTGTATGGTGATCAGGTGGCTTCATTGATAGTGTCCCACCTGAGGTCTTCCTCTCAGTGACAGTATGAAGTCTCCTGGCAGTCTGTCTGCCTTCGTAGGATTTTGTCAGTGTCTGTTTCTATTTTGTCCTTTCTTTCTTGACTCTTTCAGGACAGGCATGTTATGCCGAATATTGTCGCATCTTATCGTGCAGCGCTGGCGGAGCCGCTCCAGCATGTGTTCGGGTGGATGTCACTTCCACTCCGTTCCACAAGCTCTCTTGTGCACTTTTTCACCTCCATCCTGCTCATGCGTTGCCCTAGCCTTCTTGGTCCTTAGACCGGGTGCTCGTTTCTCTCTTTTCCTCGGTTTGTTGATTGTGAAGGGGCTAATCCTCTGCCCATTCGGCCTGGGATTGTTTCCTCAAGGCCTTGTTCTTGTTGGCTTTTGCCTCTGGGGGAAGGTAAAGCCTCACCAGTTGGAGGTTTGTATTGGTTCGCCTACCTTTCTAGGTGCCTTCCTCGGTTGATGGCAGACATGACACACACTAAATGTTGAGTGCTCATATGGCCATTGTTCCCTGTTCCTCTCTGAAGGGGGGGCCAGATTCTGGATTCTGGCCCCTGTTAGGCATAGAACTCCAGGGACTGATGGCATCAGACTAATATGGCACATGTCAGTTTGATAGCTTCAGGGAGCCTCTGGGACTCACCCAGAATATGGCGTTTCATTACATTAAACGCTGGTTTTCTGGGGGGAGCCCATTCGGCTTCCAGGAGCTATCCAGGCTGATATGTATATCCCTAAACTTTGGCATCAGTCAGGATGAATAAGTTCTAGGCTTACTAGGGACCACGAGCCAGAACCTGGCCTCCCTCAGAGAGGCACGAGGAGCAATGGCCTATAGAATTGCACATGGGATTTGGAGCATTTTATATCTGCCATCGACCGGGACAGGCACCCAGAAAGGTAAGCGCCTCAAAACACACTCCTATTCTGGTGAAAACTACTAAACAAATAAAAAATAGACAAACAAGTAGACAGAACTTCCCAAATGAAAACGAGCATGACATCAGATGAGCCGCGCCGCATGTCTACGCAGCTCCCCCCTCCCTAAGAGGGGGAAGGGGAAGCCCTAGACCCCCAGGCCAATGATCCACCTTGCAACTCTTTGGCTGATGTGATTGTGGCATGGTCGTGTGGCTCCAGCTCCAGACTCTTTGTGTTGTGCTGAACCTTGGGTTCAGTACTGCTCTTACGGTGGCGTGCGAGCTGGGAGTAATATTCACAGGTACTCGGGCTGCATGTGCTTAGGGTTCCCTTTCCCGAGTGCCATGTAGGTACTGCCCTTGGGGCTTGGGGTTATCTTTCACAAGTTACATTGGGGGTTTACCTCTGTTTGTCTTTTGCTGCTTGTCGATTGACCGCCCTGAGTGTTTGGGGGGGGGGGTTCCACCCTTGTTTACCTTGGGGTAAGTGGTAGTTTTTGCACTGGTAGGGGTGCAGGGTACTGCGCAGCTAGTTTTCACCTATAACAGTGGCCGTCTCTGTTCCTCCTGGGTACGTTGTCCTCTTGCGAGGTTTTCTTTTCCTTTTTGTTTTTGCTTGGTGAGGGGGGGGGGGGGTTCTGCCTTTGTATGTCTTCTCCCAGTTATGTTCGAGTTTGCCCTTCTGTTTTCGTTGGTACCCCCCTGCTTTGCTCTCGTGAGTGAACATGTTCGGGGTTCAGCTTTAGCAGTTTGTTTGGTAGCATTGTGCGCCGGTTAGTAGTACCCTGCCTGGGCTTACCCTTAGCGATACCAGTCTAGGGGCCCTGGGAAACCCTGCGGGGGCACACGGGGTCTGATGGATGCGACCCCTGGGGTCCCCCTTTCGCCTTGTGTGAGTTTGAGGGTTGCTCTGTCCCCTTATCTCAGGGCGACGCTCATAGTTTTTGCCTCTATCATGCTGCCTGTTGGGTCAGTGACACCTTCGACCCCAGAGTCCTACGAGCATTGTTGCTTGTTTGTGACTCAATTCACCCAAACTACTGATGACATTATTCGGGTGTAGGCGGCTCACGCGTTGCAGGCTAGGTTTAGGTTGCTGCAACGTGCTAAGTTGGTTGCTTCCCCGGATGCCCTGAGGCTGCCCCGCATTGTTTATAAGGACCCGGACTTGGGGGTGCTGGTCGCATCGGCCTTGGTTCAGTCCGCACCCCCTCGTTCTTCACCTGCTGTGGTTCATTCTGCCCCCCCCCCCCAGCCTGCTTCTGGCTTCTGAGCATCTGAGGGCTGTGGGCTCAGGGCAGGGTTTAGAGGGTTCTGAGACTCTGGGGGGATTTCGGGGGTTGAAACCCCAAAACCAAGGGTTTCAACCCGGTTGCCCGAAATCCCCTGGTTTCGGGCAGTTGGGGGATTGTCGAGTGTTGTAAACCCAGCAGTTCTCTGTAAATCTTTGCTGACTTTCTAGATGCTTAACCAGAGACAAGGTGGAATGACATTTGCTCTCTGCACCTCTGTGAGGTGGCCACATTGTAGCTCTGGTCCCTGGTAGTCCAAAAAGAATTCCTATGATTGTTGTGACTTATAGTATAGATCAATCTCAGCAAGATAGCTAATGGGAGCCACTAGGGTTCCAGAATGAGGTATTTCATTACATACTACACTGGGTTTTTATGATGGACTGTAATTAATGAGAATCCCTACATTGAAAGAAATATAAGATAACTGTAGTTGTAGAAAATGCAAACAATGTTTACTCTTAATTCAATTTTGTTTACCTATTTTATATTTTATATTGCAGTATGTACTCTTTGTGATCATATTTCTGCGAGGAGTTACATGCGGCTCCTTGAAGCTACTATCTCTAAGAGCATCTAGTAGTTGGTACATTAACAGTCCCAGAGTTATTTAGGGCTACTGGGCACTACGAGCCAAAACCTGTTCCCTTCACAAGGGGAACAGGGTTCTGGCTCGTGGTCCCCAGTAGACATATAAGAACTCTGCGACTGATACCACTCAAGTGGATCAGCAAGATAGCTTCAGAGAGCCTCCAAGGCTCACCCAGGAACTGGTGTTTCATTACATTTAACGCTGGTTTTCTGGGGGAAGCCCCGTCAGCTCCCTGAAGCTATCTTGCTGATGAAGATGCCTGATCTACTTAAGTGGCATCAGTCGCAGGGCTCTTTGTAAGCCAACCGGGGACCATGAGCCAGAACCTGGCCCCTTAGAGAGGCGCAGGGAGCAATGGCCATGAACACTTTACATTTAAAGCAGGTCATCTTGCCATTGACCCGGGAAAGACCCAGAAAGGTAGGCGAATCAAAATAGAGCAGTGTCTGGTTAAAATTTGCAAGCTACATCCTCACAAGTACAAAAGAACCACCCCCCAAAAAGCAAACAAACAAACAAAACATCTTCCAACTAACTCGTTAGCTCCACCTCCCTGCAGGGGAAAGGAGGAGCTGGCCTGGGTAGGTCTGGCTACTAACCTCCAGTTCTTTACCTGCTTGATGGGGTTCTGAGAGTTCTTCTACTCCCCAAGCCTGGCCCAAGGCCATGCTTGACTCATGAGAGCTTGGTGCAACAGGCTGTTGCTTGGAGCAGTCCACAGGCCCACATATCCACCACAGCTCGGTTGGTCCAAGACTTTTTAAAGAAAATTATCTAGTTTTCTCTTGGTGTCCACAGTTGTTCTGCCAATATTTCTTGTACTCACTGGGAGGATGTTGAACAACCACGGACCTTTGATGTTTATACAGTGTTCCCTGATTGTGCCTATGGCACCCCCTACTCTTCACTGGCTCTATTCTGTATTTTCTTCCATATCATTCACTCCAGTATGTTGTTATTTTACTGTGTAGATTTGGGACCTGGCCCTCCAGTATTTTCCACGTGTATATTACTTGATATCTCTCTCATCTCCTTTCTAGTGAGTACATTTGTAGAGCTTTGAGATGATCCCAATAATTTAGGTGCTTTATCGCATCTATGTATGCCGCATATGTTCTCTGTATCCCCTTTATTTCAGCAATCTCTCCTGCTCTGAAGGGGAAAGTGAGTACTGAGCAGTACTCAAGATGGGACAGTACAAGTGATTTGTATAGTACAACCATTGTGATGGGATCCCTGGATTTGAATGTTCTCGTAATTCATCCTATTATTTTTCTGATTGATGCAATATTTGCCCTGGTTATGCTTCCTAAACGTTAGGTCGTCAGACATCATTATTCCCAAATCCTTTACTTGTTGCTTTTCTACTATGGGCAGATTTGATTGTGTTTTGTACCCTGTATTATGTTTAAGGGGCCC